AAGTTACAGGTTCTCTATTATAGTGATTTTTTTATATGAAAAGCAATGCTTATTTCAAACTTCTTCCCCCTTACAAAAAAAGTATTTTGGAGAAGCATTCTGTAAAATCCAGTGTGTTTCCTCAGTGTTCAGTTCTTCTATATCTGGTGATTTCTGGAAGGGTGCAAACATTCCTTTTGACCTTCTACATCCTTGGCACGTGCTTTAAATTCCTTCGGTCTGACTAGTGAAAATAGCTGTTTAGTTAAGTACAAACCTCTGCACTTTAAAATAGCAACAGACTGCAAATGGTCAGTGCCTTCTTTTAAATAAAAGGACTGGAACCAAGTATGTTTTCCCATGTAAAAGACATCTTCTGTTTAAAGAAAAGTGGAGAACATCTTACTGAACTACAGTAGATTTCTTCCATAGTTCTCCCCCCTCACAGTTTATCCTCGCCATAACTCAATACATGGTAAGTTGCCCTGGAAATGCTAATTAAAAACAGACTATACATTTCAGACCGGCTAACGTCTGGCTGTGCCACCTCATCATTGTACGGAGTGCTCCGGGAAGGGGTGACCAAAGAACACCAGGAATGTACATCAAGAGTATATATGCCCAGCAGGGTCACCTAAGGTCTGAAGGTCATCCCAGCTGCCCAGCTAAAGCAAGCAGGCACCTATATTGGCCTGGAGCAATATAGGAAGACGCTGGAGGCAGATGATCACTTTAGTGACAAGGGCAAAGGCATCCATCCATTCATACTGCACCGGAGAAGGCAATGGTAAACCACTCCTGCCACATGGATAGAAAATATAAAACTATTGACAATATAGTGCCACATGGTGAGCCCTTCTTTACCTAGGCAAAAGGGGCTGAAGCATTTTTTAAGTCCTGAGCAACAAGATAACATTTGAAAGTTCACCACTGCACATTATGGACCATTCATGATATTGGGTGGGGCTGGAGGGCTGGGTTGGTTTCTGTCATCAGCTCTGCTTCCAGAGCCAATGTGGTCCACTGATTTTGAGTATATCCTTCCTCAACCCAGGTGGTTCTGAGGACTAATGGTTGTTAATGAAGATTCAAACTGTTTTCTCTAGGGGAGGATGGAGGCTAATAATACCAGGAGACTCTCACTTTGATGACATGAAGATGAAAAAATAATCAGTCCCCCCAAGAAATCCTTCAGAAAAACTTGAACAGAAAAGTTTGTGGGTACAAGGTATTTCAATATTAAGAGTGCCTGAAATATGTAAGCATAATCAAGAAAATACATAAGTACTTGACAACTTGAATAATTATATATTTGCATAAGAAATATGGAGTTGTAAGCTTTCAAATATTTTTATCTCACTTTGATAGGAGACAAACATTCAAACCATTACTTTGTCAAAGCAGGGTAATCTTTTTCCTGCATTCAAGTAGCACCACCTCATTTCTTTTTTATAGAACATATCTTCTCAAAAAAAGCTTTCCCTTCTATTTCAGCTGTACTTGAAATTAGCCTTTCCTAAATGTCCTCCTAAAAAAAAAAGTCAATATATATTTTGAAGGGCTCAATATTTATTTTGAATTCTCAGACTGTTTGGCTAGGGATAAACTAGCGTTATAGGATGCTGTAAACGATACCAACAATTTTGACCAAACACTTGAAAGTCTGTGCTATGAAATCCTGGTTTTTGTGGTATAGAAGTCATTTTTCGGTGCCGTTGCACTGAGACATCACACAGAAGCTGAAGGATTCTCCCACTTCCCTCTTTTGGATAAAAGAAGAAACTCAATCACCAAAGTGCACTTGGCATAAATAAATGGAGTTTATGAGTCTAGCACATTCTCCTACATTCCCTCTAATGCCAAGAGTTTTACAGAACAACTAAAAAAAGGTTCTGAATGATCTCAATATAATGATTTTGAAACTCATAGTAACACTGCAGAGTCCCATGAACTGGCATTAGATAGCAAAGGGACTGAATATTTTCAGAAGTGTTTTTATTTTTTAAAATAAGTACAGTGGGAGACCAAATATTACTCTGTTACAGCTGTAGATGAAGAAAACATTGCAGGATATCAAAAATGCCGTCATTGCTGCCACACACTCTGAGTCAGAAACCTGTGATTATAATAAATGGAGCTTTATTTTCCGGCTGTCCATTACTTCCTAAAGAGGTTCCTGGGTTAAACATTTTTGTACCTGGTCCTGACAAAAATTAGAGAATCCTAATGAGAGAAGGCGTCATGGGCATCCATGGGGAAGAGGTGTTTCCAAAAAGTCAAGATGGCAGCTGTGGCATCAAAACCCTTTTTACATGTGATGCCCAATGCATATAAAGAGGGTAGGGCTTTGACCATGCAGTCACAGCTGCCATCAATCAGTCAAACTCATGGTTAGCATACAGAGATTCATTCTCAACATTGAATGCAATCATAGGTAACCAGAGATGTGGGCTTTGTGATATATAGAAATTAAAGCCACCACAAAGAAAATAAATGCATGTTCATAATATTAGACTCTTCCCAGTGTAGTAACATTCCTGCTGGAACCTAATTTAACAAGGTCCTCAGGGACAGTGTGTAAACAACAGTTTAGCAACCAGTAGCAAAGTCTGTCCCTGAGAAATGAATGGCTTTAAAGTTTTGGTGATTATCAAGTCAAAGTATGTCAGAACTGGCCCTTAGACAACTCATATTTTCTAGAGTCTAAATATCATTAAAATGATTGGAATCAAACTTGGAATAAACATGGCAACATTTGTATTGTTAGCATCTGAACCTGAGTTACAGTGAGGGCTCAGAACAAAACTTTCTTTTTATGATGCAGTATAGATAGAGAATGTGCTATCCTTTGCCCCCCATTCTGGGCTCTTACAGTTTCTCTTTCCCCTGCAAACCTCTAAAATGCAGTTATTCACCAACGGAAAGGTCTAAGCAAGAGCCGTAAACAACTGGAAGTATGGATCAATAAATTGTTCTGCTACCCTTGTTATCTAATGGAGAATGTTTTCCTTTTCCTATTGAATGCCCGATATGGGCTATCTGCAATGCCCAGCAGAGTGTTTTACTGAAGGAAGTACAAAATAGACATTTACCAGTGCAGTTTATCTTGCTCCAAAACTAGAGGCAAGTGTTCATCCAGAGCTTTCAAATGTGTTATGACTAAATAGGTCCCTCTGATGAACTAGAAAAGGCTCATGCGTGACCTAACCCGTTTATCTTATACAGAAACCACCCTTCCAATTCTTATGCACCAGATTCTGTATTACACCATTGTCTTTTTCTTCAGCCCTGATAGAGAATGTGATTTAGACATTTCTAAACAAACACACACGCAGATAAAAACGGATACTTGACTACAAAAATTAATTTCAGTAAGCAACATACTAATGCCATTTATGGAACTTTTTCCAGGGAAATGGAGCATGGATCAAAACAACCGCTGCACCTGAATTATATCGCAACAGACTGTTACGGATAGTCCTCAGGCTACAATGGCAGTTGGGACCAGAATTGCCATCACTAAGTGATGTAGTCATAAAGTGCAATGTCATGTGACTGCAGTGCTTAGCAACAGCAGTTCTGGCAGTCCTGGTTGCCATCATTAAGCGAGGACTGTGTGAGTTGTTAAGCAAGGACCTCATGTGACTGCGATTTCCAGCTGGATTCCCCACTGACTTTGCTTGTGGGAAGCCGGCAGGGAATGTAGGAAATTGCAGTCATGTGACCGAGGCTTGCTGTGACATCATAACCGGGAGCCAGGTGCTGAGCACCTGGATCATCATGTGATTGTGGGGATGCTGCGATGGCCAGAACTCCAGGTGGTAACTACCACTTGTTCAGCACTATAGTAAGTTTGAACAGTCGCTCAATGAGTGGTCGTAACCCAAGGACCACCTGTAGTATACTCAAAGCGTTTTAAAAAAGAGTGAGAAAATTAATTTATTGTATTTTGGTGGACTTACGTTTCTGTGTACAGTAAAAATATACTCCAAAACCTGTTGCTAAGTTTTCTGCTTAGTAGTGTTGCTCTCATCTTGGAAAATGGCTATCATTTTTCACATATTTAGTTATGATGTTCTATCAGAACTGTCATGGCTATTCTAGGGGTCTGTACCAATCAGAAGATTCTGGTTGGAAAACAGTCTGATTTCATTTGGGATTTGATGCCAAACCAGAAATTTGGATCTCCATGCCTCAACTACCATTGGAAATCAACACACTTTCCCCTTCCTATTTGAGAAAACAGGATAATATTTTCAGATTTAATAATCTCAGCCAAACATCAGACAAATAGATTTAGGTTTATGTATCTTTAAATTTGATATTAGAAAAGGAAATTGGAGAATTGGTCTGTCAAGAATCTTTAATCTTTAATATTAATCATTATGTTCAGAAGCAATAAAGCTCTGATTACTAGAAGCAGGGGAACAGCATAAGATGATTAGCCTAGAAGTATTCAGTAGTCAGTTAAAGAGATAAAATGATGGACTCTGTGATGCTTATTTTTTTTATAACCCCTTTAGGTATGTAGATAGTACTATATAGTTTTCTGTTTTTAAAAACATAGCACGCCATGAAATTAAGCTTCTCAGAGTGATATACAAAGTATATTATCCATGTATTCATAACTGTAGTCATTCATTTCCCATGAAAGGTTAATCAAGTGATTGTACAGCTGTATGTAAGTGTGCTATACCATGATTCAGTTATCAAAGTTTTAAAAATAAAATCTATGTAATCCTGTTTTAGCAATACAGAGCTCATTTAATGAGTGCCACGTGAGTTCTCTTTCTCATTAATAAATTATATATTATTTCCCCATGGTATTTTATTAAAATGTGCTTTTAAAAATATAGATATATACTCTTTACAGATTGCAGGCAAAGATGCTTTTGGAGAATACCCTCATTTTCCCAAGCAAGACACATGTCCTCAGTGCCCAAATTATGTTGATAAAATGGTGTGGGGAAAAAAGGAGAGAGGAGGGCTGGAACAATAATATTCATCGACAGAAGAGACCATTTGTTTTATAAATATTTTATCTCCTGTACATTATTGCATTGGGAGCCACAACTGTATGCAGCCATCATTCTATAGGAAAAGAGTTTAGAAATGCAAACCAAATTGAGATATGTAGATACACGAGTGTGATGGGGTGTGTGTGTATGAGTAATAAATATGCCAGCTCATTATCTGATTGAACAATGTGCACAATCTCTTTAGTAAACATATAGATGATGAAATTTCTTTGAAATGGATGTTTAGCAACTGGGCAGGGAGGGGGAGGAAAAATAACTGAATGCAAAATAAATTAAATAAAAATTGTAAACAAGTCATCATCTTACTTATGGGATATATGGCTTTGTTATTTCTGAGTCCTTCTAAATAAAATGATAAATTAAAGACATTAAATTTTCAGAAAGAAAAGATTCAAGGCTGAGCTGTGCTTCTAAACATTTGCACAGCCACTAAAATGGTTTAAAATCAAGTGAGAGATAAATCTTGAGCATTACACAAGATGCACTCATACTAAGGCCTAAAACAAGACATGTATTATAGGAATGGGAATACATAAGTATTAAGAAATTGCAATCCACTACTGAGATGTTTTCAGCCATCGAAGTAATTATTTCACCCAGCTTTTGTTGCACACCAGAATCTGCTCCCCAGAATAGAACCAAGTTGGCTTCCAGAGACCTATGTATACAATTCTGTTTTTTTCAAGTCAGACAGGAAAATACTCCACATTCCTTGTTTATAAATCATAATATCCAGTTAAAAACAGACATATGAACCCTTGACATATTTTGTGCACAAATTTTTTTTTTGTAAACCAGGTATCCGAGCTTTATTTAAAAACCCCACAAGCCTGTCTATTCTAGATTGCAATACCTGCCGAGGAGTTTCGCAACTTATTTTCAGGGGACGGAATCAAGCACGGGATCTTAAAAATACAGTCTTGTAAAAAATGTGGAAACTTTGCTCGCCTCTTCTTTCGTCGTTCTTCCAAATGGCCAAAGTTATGCCTTGCTCATTCCCAGTTCAGTAGGGAGCAAAGAGGATAGATGCTGGAGCAGCTCGGAGGGGCCCGTGTCCTGCCCTAAGGAGAGCTGTGGGTATTGCAGGGGCCTGGAAGAGAGCAGCTGAGGGTCGTGGTGGGAGAGTCAAAGCTGTGGAAACTGCCGCAGCTGCAGCAGCGAGAGGAGAGGAGAGAAAGGCAGGTGCCAAAGGCTTAATCATATCTTTTTGGAAGGCCAGCTTTGCCTGTGGAAAGAAGGGAAAGAAAACCGCTAGAAATGGCTGCTTCCCCGTGTATGGAGCATTTTTAAAAGATCTCCTGACAAATGCTTTTAATTTCCTGCCCCTGTTCCTTTCCTTTTTCAATTTCAGCACCGGAGACCAGAAACAGCTACAGTGTTTCAGGTCCACTCTAGTGTCACAATTAACTGTTGGCGTATCAGCAGAGCTTCCAGGACAAGTTTTTGGTTTTGCTGCATTCCATCGATGCAAGGTAGGCATCCCACGCTCAATTTATGCTATAGTTAAAATGGCCATGAGAACAAGGTTAACAAGAGAGAGAAGTATATCCTGAGCACCTGGGAGAAGATTGCACCTATCACAATAAAACACAATCAGCTTCCTCAGACAAGACAGTGACAGTAGAACATCTTCTTATGTCTGAAGAACAAAAAAGGGAAGGTGGTCTGGTTGTTTGTTCATAGATACAAATTAGGTACTTATCTAGGGCCTATGCTCAAGCATGCATCTATTGTGACTTCAGCTTTTCCACCGAGAAACGAATAAGCTGATAAAACCTGAAGCATTTTAATTTCATTTTTTATGAGGATGGAGGCATATTAGTTTCTTGTTTGTTTGTTTTTAAAGGTCAGCTGAAATGTGCTATACTTTAAGATTGAAAATAAATGTATCTTGGAAACTCCCGACTTGCAAAACTGGCTCTCTGAAAAATAATTGCAGCTGAATTCAGTGGAGAACCTATTTTTGGAGAATGTACGTATCTCTCTTCTAGACATCCTCATGAATGTGGAGGAGGGTATCAAAGCTTTCAGTAGGATAGCCACACTAGGCAATACTTACTGCTAGAATGCTTGGATTACGCTGTAGTTTGTTGTAAGGGCTGTATTTTGGTTTTGTAGGCTTCCCTGCAACTCTGTCCTTGTGCCTTCTGCTAGAAATGTGCTGAAAATTTAAAACAAATGTTCTGTTTAAAAGTTAGTTGATAATGTAGCCACTGTGTAGTCTTCAAGTAAACATCTCAATTTATTTCAGGGGAGAGTAAATTGACTAAGGCTCAGGCAGGAAATTTACATTATGCAGTAAAATATCTGCAAAACCAGGAAACTAATCCTAACCTTAAAAAAGCACCAACATTAACTAAAGGTATTAATTTCAAATCTGTATGGTTCAAGACTTTCCTGGACAACAATGAAATGTAAAGACCATATTGTACAGTAAGACAACAAGATAAATAAGAAGTAGGCAAGATGTGGTAGCCCACTGTGTAGCAATGATCAATCTTTTCCACAGAACTGGAAACAAATGTATTTATTTATTAAATTTATACGGCCGCCCATCTCACACAAGGTGACTCTGGCTGGGCGGCATACAATAAAGCCAACAATTAAAACATATTATAAAACCACTTAAAACACTTAAATAATTAAACATAAATAAGAACAAGATTGCAAGAGGGTTAAAATGAGAATGTTATATGTGGTGCAGCCAACGTGTATAGTAAAGGTAGAGCTGCCATAGCCAGCAATAACCAACTGTTCATGTGCTGGCTGCCCTGGCATGGAGACAGGCTGCTGTCATTTGCAAAGGTGATTATCCTAGTCAGTAACAACATGCTTACAGATGTTTTAACAATGCTGTTGACCGTTAACAAGTTCCGTCTAAATATTTTCAGATGGTTTTTCAGCAGACATGATGACAAAGGGGTTACATTTCAAAGGATACCCTCAGCTAAGTTTAGTGCTAATACCTTGTAGGAGTACACATGGGAGATTTTCCATCTCTTGGGACCAAGGGATTAGCTTGTGTCAAATTAAATGAAGCTGATTAATTGAATGAATGTGTAATCTGAAACAAAAGACAACTGCTACAGTGAAACAGTAATTCTTGATGAGATCAATATACCTGCTTAAGCTGAATTTCTGAATTGACATGGACGTCACAAATCTCACAATGAAATGTTTTGTTCTGCAGTCCTGAGCCCATACTAGTGCCATGAGTCTTCAATCTGGATCCAGGCCGAGGATAAGATTTAATTGGACCAGCACCATTCCTAGCTTCAACCATTGTCTTGTGCTTGGAACCTGACAAGTCATTATTACAAAAGAATCAGAAAACGATTTCCCTACTTTTAAGAGGAACTAAACATTTTTAGCTATTGAAACATTTCTATTCTTTCCTGGATTTTTGTTACATAAGTAAATAAGAATAAATTGAGAGTTGATCTCAATTCTTTTTTATACACTGGTCTGCATTGCTTGGTAATTCTCAGACACTTGAGAGCCCATTCACACAACTATGAGACTGTTCAAGAACTCCCAGTCTCTAGTGGCACTGATCCAAAGGATTCTTTATCACAGCCTCTTATTACCAATCATCCACATATGTAAGGAATAGTGTGATTTCCCCAAAACTATACCCATTTTTCAACTTTTTAGAATGCTAAAAAGATTCGAGAAAGAGAAGGTATTTTAAAATTACAAAGTTATACACTGTGTGCACAATTATTAGGCAAGTGAGTATTTTGACCATATCATCATTTTTA